TGCCCATCCGATTCCGCATCGACTTCAAAGTGTTGATGCTCACATACAAAGCCCTAAATGGTTTAAGGCCTCGATATTTGGTGGAACGCCTTCTGCCACCAAGATCTACCCGTATCACTCGCGCGAGCCAGGAGGTGAGGCTGAGGAGTCTAACGCCGAGGGAGGCCCGGAAGGAAAAGACAAGAAATAGGGCCTTCTCGGCGGTGGCTCCTCGCCTCTGGAATAACCTTCCTCCTGATATTCGCGCGGCTCCCTCGCTGGATATTTTCAAAAAACAACTAAAAACATTGCTGTTCCGGCAGGCCTTCCCCCCCCCAGCCAATTTCTGATTCCCCTCTTTTTTCCCACCTTGCGTTCGATCTAATTGTTGAATATGTTTTTATATAAGTTGCCTTAGTTATTGTTTTATCCCTGTTGTAAGCCGCCTAGAGTGGTCTATTGATCAGATAGGCGGGATATAAATAAAATAAATAAATAGCAATGTATGGAAGTGAGAGCTGGACCATAAAGAAGGCTGACCACCGAAGAATTGATGCCTTTGAATTGTGCTGGAGGAGACTCTTGAGAGTTCCCTGGACTGCAAGGAGATCAAACCTATCCATTCTGAAGGAAATCAACCCTGAGTGCTCGCTGGAAGGACAGATCCTGAAGCTGAGGCTCCAATACTTTGGCCATCTCATGAGAAGAGAAGACTCCCTGGAAAAGACCCTGATGTTAGGAAAGTGTGAAGGCAAGAGGAAAAGGGGACAATAGAGGATGAGATGGTTGGACAGTATCATCGAAGTGACCAACATGACTTTGACCCAACTCTGGGAGGCAGTGGAAGATAGGAGGGCCTGTCGTGCTCTGGTCCATGGGGTCACAAAGAGTTGGACACAACTTAAAAGACTAAACAACAACAAAGAAATTTCCGAGGCATTTTTGTTCCATACTGATGATGTCTACAGAGATTTCTTAACTTGAGGCAATTCATCTCCAAAAGTTGTACCTTTACACAGCAGTGCAGCAGTATTTCAGCCAGTGAAGCATGGTTCCCAAAACACAAACCCATGTGACCCTCTTCTGCACTTACAGTCTATCAGTCTCCCAAATCTTCTGGGAAAGTGGCTACCTTTCTACCATCCTGACAGTCTCTGCGCAAGTGCACTAAAACCCATTTGTATGCATTCAGAGACCACAAAGAAAAAGCGTGATTCCCAAAACACAAAACCACACAATCCTGCTCTACACTCACAGTCAATCAGGCTCCCAAATCGTCTGGAAAAGTGGCTTACCTTTCTACCATCCTATCACGGTATCGTTTTTTTTGTCTCTCCTGAGTTTTCTTACCAGCTTGCAATTTGCGCTTGATTTGACTGATCTCTTCTTGGATTGTCAGAGCTCCTACATGAAATAAAACCACTGTTTTTAAAGGATACTTGCTTAACAGACTTTACTGAAGACAACTTTCCTAAATGAGATGGGTCTCCAGGTTCGCCGTCTTGATATCCTAAAAAGGACATGCTGTTGTTCATGCATGGCACTGTAGTTTCAAGGAACCAAATCAGAGCTGGAAGCATAACTGTACCTTGAAGGCTTTCAAAGGCTTTAAAGTGAATGTGACATTTCTTGGGGAGACAACTACAGTCTGCATAAGACAAATTTGTCATACAGGAAAGGGAAAAGCTGCAGTTGTGGCTCATTTTGTTCCTCTTACAACTTTTGTTGGAAGATGACAGCTTGTGGTACAACTATCTTCAGATTATACCACTTTTCTGTTTTTATGCAGCATAACTGAAAGCAGATTGTTGGACATGTAGCAGCAATTGAGGCAGAATAATTTAATTGTCTAGAAGTTACGAACTGTTGCTGGTTTTTATCTGAGCTCTGTAAGTTGGAAATACAGAGTTCTGCATTTGAAATTGCTGTCTGAAACTAGTTATAGCCCACCTTCACAGAGGGAGAATCAATGTAATTTAACTTTGAGTTATCAATCTCCCAGTACAATTCACAAGTCTTCCAATTTTGTATGTCAAAGTATCTTAATCAAGGTCAATTAAGTACTCAAGATTACATGTCTTTTTAGGATACAGTGGTTCAGTCAGGTCTTAATCAACCAAGAAATATATCATATACATTATTTATTAAAGAGTTATAAAATGGCTCCAGGAACAAAAGCCTATTATGACAGTCCCTCCCACACAGAGAAATAAAACTAAGCTCCTTACCAGAAGTATGTTAATATATCCACATTTAGACTTGCCTTTCTCAGAGTCTCCTTTTCTTTCTTCATCTTCACCTCCTTCTCCCTCTCCCTCCTAAAATATAATTAAAGACAATGAAGCAGAGAGTTGCGGTTGCTTACAGCTGAAGTTATAACACAGCTGGAAGTAAGTCTTATATTAAGCAGTCAGGAAATGTTGCTCACTATATCTTAACTACCATTAAGAAGAGCTTCTTCCTGAATCAGCAAGTACTGAAAGATCCACTGTAATCTATGGAATTCAATAGTCTTTCCCTTTATTTGTGGAATATAGGTTTGATATGCATAATGGGTAACAGAAACCAACTGCATAAAGATCTGTATTTATTGGACTATACGCAGACAGGACCAAATCTTAATGGCATCCTATTCACAAGTAGGTCTACTCTGTTTTCCCGAAAATAAGCCCTAGTATGAATTTTTAGGATGCTCATAATATAAGCCCTACCCCCAAACCCCTCCACCATTGTGCAGCAACGAGAAAATGACATGACTGTATTTGAATAAATGTAGATTGTTCACATGAAAAAATAAAACTTCCCCTGAAAATAAGCCCTAATGCATTTTGGGAGCAAAAATTAGCAGTCTCCAGCTCAGGCATTGAAATTAGCTTATGTAAACACTGCCCTTTCAAATATTCCACAGGAACTAGCTACCTGTATGTGGTTTTTCTAAAGATGGCTTGTTATCCATTTGTATTTTGATTGGATTTTTAGTACTAGTGTTTCCCATTTTTGTATTTTCCAGTGGCATTTTTTTAAAAAAATGATTGTATGCTTATTTTTCTTAGCTCTAATATTATCTTTGAGTGGTGTTAACCATTGTTATATACTCATTGTTTCTAAATTCAAATATTATCTTTCAGTGTTGGAATCTGCCTTGGGTCCTTTTCAAGAAGAAAGGTAAGGTAAACATATGGTTCATCATTCTGTGTGTGTGTGTTTAGTCGTTTAGTTGTGTCCGACTCTTCGTGACCCCATGGACCAGAGCACGCCAGGCCCTCCTGTCTTCTACTGCCTCCCGGAGTTGTGTCAGGTTCATGTTGGTTGCTTCGCAGACACTGTCCAGCCATCTCATCCTTGGTCGTCCCCTTCTCCTCTTGCCATCACACCTTCCTAACATCAAGGTTTTTTCCAAGGACTCTTTTCTTCTCATGAGATGGCCAAAGTACTGGAGCCTCAGCTTCAGGATCTGTCCTTCAAGTGAGCATTCAGGGTTGATTTCCTTTAGAACTGATAGGTTTGTTCTCCTGTCTCTGCTTTTCACGATGCTGTCCAGATTTGTCATCGCTTTCCTCCCAAGAAGAAGGCGTCTTTTAATTTCAGGGCTGCTGTCTCCATCTGCAGTGATCATGGAGCCCAGGAAGATAAAATTTGACACTGCCTCCATATCTTCCCCTTCTATTTCCCAGGAGGTGATGGGACCAGTGGCCATGATCTTAGTTTTTTTGATGTTGAGTTTCAGACCGTTTTTTGCACTCTCCTCTTTCACTCTCATTACAAGGTTCTTTAATTCCTCCTCACTTTCTGCCATCAGAGTGGTATCATCTGCATATCGGAGGTTGTTGATATTTCTTCCGGCAATCTTAATTCCGGCTTGGGTTTCTTCCAGTCCAGCCTTCCGCATGATGTATTCTGCATATAAGTTAAATAAGCTGGGGGACAATATACAGCCTTGCCGTACTCCTTTCCCAATTTTGAACCACTCAGTTGTTCCATGACCAGTTCTAACTGTTGCTTCCTGTCCCACATATAGGTTTCTCAGGAGATGGATAAGGTGGTCAGGCACTCCCATTTCTTTAAGGACTTGCCATAGTTTGTTGTGGTCCACACAGTCAAAGGCTTTTGCATAGTCAATGAAGCAGAAGTAGATATTTTTCTGGAACTCTCTGGCTTTCTCCATAATCCAGCGCAAGTTAGCAATTTGGTCTCGAGTTCCTCTGCCTCTTCGGAATCCTGCTTGTACTTCTGGGAGTTCTCGGTCCACATACTGCTGAAGCCTACCTTGTAGGATTTTGAGCATAACCTTGCTAGCGTGCGAAATGAGTGCAATTGTTCGGTAGTTGGAGCATTCTTTGGCACTGCCTTTCTTTGGGATTGGGATGTAGACTGATCTTTTCCAATCCTCTGGCCACTGTTGAGTTTTCCAAACTTGCTGGCATATTGAATGTAGCACCTTAACAGCATCATCTTTCAAGATTTTAAATAGTTCAACTGGAATGCCATCACCTCCACTGGCCTTGTTGTTAGCCAGGCTTTCTAAGGCCCACTTGACTTCGCTCTCCAGGATGTCTGGCTCAAGGTCAGCAACTACATTGTCTGGGTTGTCCAGGATATCCAAATCTTTCTGATATAATTCCTCTGTGTATTCTTGCCACCTCTTCTTGACGTCTTCTGCTTCTGTTAGGTCCAGAATGATGAACCACATGAACCAAACATATGGTTCATCATTCTGAGTCTTGGATTATTTGCTACGCTGGAAATTTTATGAGAAGTATTGGTTTTTATATGTTCATTTTTAAAATTCTGTTTGTATATTCTTCTTATTTTTTGGAAGATACCTAGAGTAGTCGCTTGTCCACTAAATGGGCAGGGTATGTCTAAACAAACAAACAAAAATAAATAAACAAATGTGGCTGACTAGCAGAGCAAAATTTTCACAACTCACATATCTATCATACATGAATAATAAGAATATAAATCTTCATAAACTCAGACTCACATTTTTAGACCCTTTCTCAGCAGCTTCTCCTTCAGGACCCTCTTCTGTAAAAAGCAAGATATCAGGTAATCATGTACCATATAGAACAACTAAAATATTAAATCAGCAATGTTGTTTTTGCCATTAGCAAAGTAAAAATAAAATTATCTCAAACTAGTCAGACTTGAGTTGCAGACACTTACCATTATCAGAGTCTGAGTTATCCGATCCATCAGTTTTTGCTGCCTTGCTGTCAGGTTCATCAGAACTGTTAGCCTGTTTTCTCTTATTAGTTGTTGGTTCATTCTTTATTCTCTTTTTCTATGAAAAGACAGACAAGGATACTTCAAAACATAAACAAATGTCATTTTTTTCTTATCAACAACCAAAAAAATGTACATGCAGTCACACTGTAAATTTTCTACACTCAAGCCTGCTTCAAAGATACAGACATGCTTCCTGAAGAACTGATCTAGTTCATACAAAATGTCCCAGTAATCCTAGATCATACTTTCTGGATATGACTAAATTTAATGGCTAATCTTTTTAATACTGAGGCAACACATAAGATACAACAAAACTTTCCTAGAACAACTCAAAATCTCTAAAAGAAAAAGAGAAAGATGAAAAATGTTTCCCTTAATAAACCACTTAAAATAACAAAGCAGACTCCTTTGCATTTGGCTTGAGGCTGTGTCTCCTAATGAACAGAGCCCTTTAAAACAGGGCAGAAAACAGGTGGGAGAAGTTTGCACAGGTACTTACCTTAAAATCTGCGTCCCACATTTTCCAGTTTCGCCTCATTCGTTGTTTCATGCCGCCGCCTCCAAAGCGCATGTTGCCAGAGAAACCTCGCATTCCCTGGAACATGTTGTACTCAGGGAATAGTTTGTGGGAGAAAAGGGATGGAGGCCTATTGGGGCCATGGCCCCGTCCTCCCCTTGGCACTGGCGGCTCATTCCACTGTCCGCCCATGCGCCCAGAATATGCAGATGCCATGGGTCTGTTATGTCTCCCGTCTCTGGCCCAGTTCTGACCCCGGTGGCCAAAGTTGTCACGTGCTCTGTTGTGGTACTGGTCCCTGCGGTTCCCATACGAGCTGTCATAATAGCCTTCATAGGTATTGTCGGTGTCATGTTCAGCCTCACTGTAATCGTAGCCAGATCTGTACAGATCACGGTCGTTCAGTGAAGACCTTGAGTCGTAGGACTCATATGTATCATACCTGCAAGAGTTGCACAGTAAGCAAGGAATCCAGTCAGTAACATATAGAGCACTGTGTTAAAGATTCTGCCAAGAAATGGCAGCAGAACTAGGTTACATTACAAAAAAAAACCCCTCAGAATTGTTCTAGGTCCAATTCGATATGAGTTTCTCCCTTGTGCAGTACAGCAGTGCAGAAGGGCACTGAAGGGTCATTGTCAGTAAGTGCAGCATAAAACAAGAATTTTCTTTAACCTCAGTCAATCACAGAACAAGTGTAGTACTTTGATCAGAGTGACCAATACGCCTTGAATTTGGGTGTTTCATACAGATGTTTAAGTTCTGAATGCTACAAGCTCACACATTAATGCCCTCAGCTATTAAGATAGGCTAGGCAAGTAAAATTCCCAAATGCAACTTTACAAGATAAATTCTCATCAATTATTCCAAGACAGAAAAATCAAATTATTTTTAAACAATTTAAACAAAAATTATTGGCTATACAACAAGAGATGGTTCCTGTATAACATTTTACCTCTTAATTATTTCCGTGTAGAGAAAATCTTGTGAGCAAACCTAAAAATCTCATGCTCTGTGCCTGCTGTAAGTCGACAACACAAGCAAGATAACTTTATTCCCCTCCTAAAACAAAACACAGCTTTAAGCCAGCACAGTTTTGTACAAGTCTTCCAAAGCTGCAGAGAAACTTTTAAGCTATACATACTTATCTAAAAGTGCCTGCATGTGAATCAATACATAAGCTCTATCACACAAATGACACGGCACAAGGCCCTAGTCCCCTCTGTCTCTCAAAGAATGTTGCTTTGACTTTGTGGAAAACCAAATAAAGTTCTGCTTCATCTAAAAAAAAGCACTGGACAAGAGTGCACAAATCATGGAATGTATAAAGAATCTGAAAGCAAGAAAATGGAAAAGAAATGATGGCCAAGGAGACTTTAAAAATGTGGAACTGAATTTCTTAAAGCCATCAGCTTGAGCTCAGTGACTCCCATCTACCAAGCCTTTAATCCTCATGACCATTTACAGCCATTTCAGCATCTCTGCTGCTCAACTGAGCTCACTACAATTAAGTTAAGCAAAAGTGAACACTGCTCAGTTAATCCAGCCTGATAAAACTGCAAATCAGAAGATGCACATTTACTTAGAAACAAATCTCACTGACTTCAGTGTGCAAAGAGTTGCAGCTTTGCCATGCTTGGTAATTTGGGTCAGGTCTTATTTTCATGACAGTGAAGTACCATAAGTTAATTATCAAATGTAGATGGTCAACAGTTGAATAGGGCTTTGAAACCTGGAAGTACTCTTTGAGATGCTACGCTACTACTAAAAGCTAACACACAAATGTCAACACAAGAGGCAAGAGACACATAAGGAGCCTGCCCAGAATGTGAGGACTTTGATAGCATTTGGGCATCCCCTCAGGAACAACAGCACACCATTGACTGATCCTTCCACTCCTGAAGCACTATTGGATTGATTCTAACACGAAAAAGAGGAGAAAACAAGAGGCAAGCAATACAGAATTTTACATCTAATTTTACTACAGTAGATATACAATACATTCATTACACTAAGATATGTGAAATTAAGCAACAATAGTTTTACTATAGTGAACTCCCTTGACAGCTCCAAAGTATAAATGTCTTGAAGCAGAAATGACATATACATCCTATTTGGACGAAGCTAATCTTCATCATACCTCTAGAAACAGATCTACAAAACAGATTTACTGGCAACCTTTAAATAAATCCATAAATATAATCACTCCAAAATTAAATGAACATATATAGCATAGTACAAATTGGTTAAACTTCAAATTTGAAGCAATTCTTCTCGGTCCTTCAATTCTACTTCAAAAGTAAAATCACCGTTTATTCCAACAGTCAAGAGATTTTTTGACGTGATTTTATAGGATGACAAATTCACTAAGAAAAATTCTACAAAATATTCTGTGTATTAATTCTATTTCAATCAGTTGGGGCAAAATCCATGTTATGGTGGCTAGCAACACTTCTGCTCCAATGAATTGCAATGGGTTTTGGAAATGCAATCTTTGGACATATTATTTCACAAGACACATAAAGCTGCTAAATGCACTCTTTATATCAGAACATTACAATTCACAAACCAGTCACCGAAATATTAACAACCTTTCCTCAAAGAAAAATGAGAGCACCTTATTTTCAAAACCCAAACAAAAGAAACAGAACTTTGTTGATTCTACTTTCCCCCAAACTGCTATTTCTAAACAAGAGTGTGGACATGTGGCAAAGAGCAAATCTATTAATCCAAGATCAGCATTTGATCAATACACCTTTCAGCTATAGAATCTGCCTGATCTATGGGCTATTACCAAACCTTTTCACCTATGTCTCTACACTCACCTGTCTTCACCTGAACCATAATGTCCTCCTTGCATCGTGTCAGTTTCTAGGTGAGATACCATATCTAAATGTGGGGTAAAATTTGCTATTACATCATCAGCACTGGTGTCAGTGGATGCGTTATAGTTCATGTCTGTATCTGAATTAAGAATTTCCCAAGAGTTTGAAGTGGCCATACCATACCCATAATTGCCAGAGTTATCCTGACCGTATCCATATCCATAACTATAGTCCTCGTAACCTGAAATAAAAAGCAATAGTCAAGTTTCCAATTAAGCAGAAATGTAAGATCTACAGAGGCAGAAATATACTGAATCTGTGAAAATGTATGATATTCCTGGCTACTTAAATCTGAATTAGTTGCATCCATATTAGCACTGCTAAATTTTTATGGTACTTGCCTCTATTTGTACCGGAATTCCAGTTTCCATAACCTAAAAAGAAATATAAAATAAGAGGTCAAAATCTATAGTAGCTGTAGGTATTCTAGATGTAGTAAAAGAAAATAGTATTTAATACTAGCCCACGTCACAAAAAGATAAAAGCTGAAGAAAAATCCATCCAACACAACATTTCATTAGAAGAAAGTTATACTTCTTTGAAAAGGACAACCTCATAAAATTTTGACCTGCAAATAGAAAGAATACAGAAATGGACACCTGGACTTACTTGAAACAGTTAACTCCTCTCCTTGGAAGGAAAGAAAACAACCACAGGCCTGGTCCCACCCCCCACCCCCCAGAGGAGAAACTAGTCAGTCCTAGAACTTTATTTCAGCTCTGACAAAAAATAAACATTGAATCAAACACAGTAAGTTAAGGAATGAAGAGGATCAGAAAGCAATAACTAAATGGGTATTTGCTAGAAGGAAAACTATAATCTGTGGCTAGATACCATATCTTACTCTTCTACTGGCCCAGAAGAATCCTTCATATTAAATCCAACTTTCCATCTCAGTCAGGAAGAAGTGGAGCATATGCAATATGCCAAACTAGATAGTAACTGATTTCTTACAGAAACCACCCTCCCTTCAAACAAGGCTCCACGTGAAGTGTATTTGCCAATTTTGTAATGACAAATGAATAAAGATGGGTGTCTCCAGGTGACTGATACACAGTTATCTTCCAGAGGGTATTCCTGTGTCACTCAGATGACCTGTTCCTTTTTAACAGTATGTGATTTGCTCCTTTTTTGGAACCTATTTTCTTTGTTCCACAGGTTAAGATGCTACATTTCCTCACCCGTCTAATTATGGTGTTTCTAGAGACTCTTTTGCCTTACTTCCTTAATTTATAAAAAACAAAAAGAGAATCAGAATAGCACCACTTTCTTTTACTACTACAGTGGTGCCTCGCATAAACGTTATGTGAAACATCATTATGCGAAGCACCATTTTCCATAGGAATGCATTGGAAACCGGTTAATCCGTTCCAATAGGCACGGATTGCCGTCCTTAAGCGAAAAAACCCATAGGAAACATCGTTAAACGATACAATGTTTCCTCCATTGGAATGTATTGAAGCTGACTCAATACATTTCAATGGCTTTGCGAAGTCAA